AATTAAACATTATCATTCAAATATTCTATTAAATTATTAAAAAAAATATATTAATATTAGTAATTTTACTGATTATTATGATTCACTGCTAATATTTAAAGTTTCTAAACACATTATAGTCCAGATTCATGGGCTTTTGAACCACCTTCATCAATGGAAACTTGTCTGCACACTTTTCATAATAATTACACTCAGTTAATGATAAAAATACTAAATAAAAATTTTAATTTATTAAAAAAGTAGGACTGTGTAATTTTATATTCTATATAATAGTGTGTATATCAAATTATTACATGATTTTTTATACAATGTAATATATTTTGTGTAATTGCAATTTAATTTATGCTAATCAATAATAATGTCTATTAAAAAGATGCATTTAGTTAGAAAGATCCTCAATTATTTTGTTAATATTATACATGGCAGAATATATCACGTTATATAGTAACCATCTCTGGAACTTCATCTAACATTTGAGTTTTTCTACTCAAATGAACTAAAAATACTTGCACTATCTATATATATATAATAAGAATTAACATTTACCATAAATAGTAATAAGGAAAAGTCAACCTACATTTATTACATACTATTTTTAGCAATTTTTTTATTTTACATTTTAATTTTAATTCATTATCAAAAAATTGTATGATTTCTAAATTAATGGGTTTTAGATGACGTATCATGTTTCAAAAATTATAAATCATTTCAAATCGGAAGGTTCCTAAATTAATGGTTACAAACTTTTCAAAGTTGTAATCTTTATGACATCTTTTCTTTTTGACTTTTAATAATAAAATCATTTTAAATATATATCTTCTAATCCAAAAATTCAATCATGCTATATATATATATATATATATATATGTATATATATATATACCCAATCAATTAATCTTGATTTTTTTTAAATTACTATGTTTATTTTTTATTAATATGCATAAAATAAAAATAAATAATTCATCTTTAGATATATAATTTATAATCTTAATATACTCTCATTTGGTGTAGACATATGAATCATAAATTTTTTTTATTTCATAAAATTAAATATTATATTTAAAAAAATAATGAAATTACTTTTGGATCAATCGGGTGATTGAATTAGGGTATTGCCCACGTTGATTGAATTACTTTTAGGTGATATTTAAAATAGTCAAAAAACTTGACATAACTTGGTTGGTCCCAGGTAACTAAGTTATGTATCAGTTTGACCAGACTAAATCGATTATTGAATCTAAATATAAATTTTAATATTGAAAATACTTTATTATGTAGTCCAAACTTCAAATAATCATATTAATAATACTTTTACTACAACATGATTAATAATTTATGAATATTTATATATCATTTGATTATTATTTATGTGAACAAAATAATTATTTTATTATCATTTTTATTAATGTACGGTAAATATAAGATTTTCAGAACTGGAACGTCATCGAAACGATCAAGTTATTTTATTAAATCATTTGTGGTTGTTCAGATTTTAATAGATAATACTTTAATATATATATATATATAGTACTTTTTGTAATAAATTTAAATAAAAAGTGTTACTTAAATATCTAAACAATTTATAAATTCAAATGTTTAAACTAAGCCGTCTTCTTCGATCCCCTTTCTCCCAACCCTAACCGCCGCTCGTTCTCCTTCAATTCCGAGTCGATTGGCCTTCCTCAGCGGCAATTAAGCTCGAATCGGTGGTCATCCCTGGCCGCCTGGCCTTCGTCCGGTTTCTCGCGCCTCTCTCTTCGCTCGCTCAGGTCAGCCTTTATCTCTTAAGATTGGGTCGGTTTTCTTTGGCCGATCTGCGGGCTCTTCTCTTCGGTGTCCTAGTGAGTGGTGACGGGAGGTGGGTTTCGAATCTCCGCCGAGTTCTCTGTTTTCTTCCCTTTTCCTCTGTTGGTGGGCCTGGGGAGGACCATCGTTCTGCCCTCCGGCCAGTGGTGATGGCAGAGGCGGGGCGGTGGTGGGCGGAGGATTGCGGCGGATTCGGTCGGGTGGATGGTGCCTCGGTTGTTCGACGGCGATGGTGTCGGACGGCCGAAGCTCCACTGTGCTTCCATCCTTTTTCCCCGTTCCTTTGATGTTGGGTCCGGGGTTGACCATTGCTCTGACCTCCGGCCAGTGGTGATGGCAGAGGTGGGGCAGTGGTGGGTGGTGGTGTGCAGTGGTTTCGGGTGGTCGGTGATGTGGTTGCGGCCTCGGCATCTTTGTGGTTCGGGGGTTTACCGGGTTTGGTTGGACTCGCTAGTGGTGTTAGTGGGCTCGATCACGTGGTTGTCCTGAGGAATTTTTGATGTTGAGGTTGTGGCTCGAGTTTGATTTCGGATGTTGTCCTGGGGCTTGGGTTTTGACTTCGTTAGGCCACCAAGTTGGTGTTTGGGCAGTTTCCGGTCGGCTCTCTTTGGCTGTGAGACTCTCTCTGGATTGACTCGGTATCCATCGGCTCAGCTTGGTTTCGCTGCTTAGGAAGGGCTTATTTAGTGTGCTTAGTGTTTGTTTGTTGCTTTCTGTGATTTTTGTTCGTTAGTTGGTCTGTGTGTTTGTTTGTCTTTGTTTGGATATGAATACAGGCTAGGCATTGTGCAGTGGCTCTGTTATTTATGTTCCTTTATTTTCGGTTGTGGAGTTCTCTAGGCCGCCATGTGCGTGTCCTCTCAGTTTTCTCTTCCTGTTCTTTTATTAGGCGTGTTTTTGGTTTGGGCCGTTGGCCCCTGTCTCATTACCCTGTTGGGGTCTTAGATTACCCTGTTGGGGTCTTGTAATTTGTTCTCTTTGCACTTTTGTGCTTTTTATAGTACATCTATCGTTCCGGCAAAAAAAAAATGTTTAAACTAATTGATAAACAATTTATAAATCTCTATTTTATTTAAATATGTAATTTTATTTAAAATAATTTTTAATGTAACAAAATTTGTTTAGAAAATCGTATCGATCCTACCAGTCCAACATACTGATGTTGACGGATTCGATAGCATATATTTTATTCAAGCGCAATATACTGGTTATAAACCGGTTCTCGGTCCATCCGGTCGGACTGTGTCCAACCCGGTTTAATTTAAAAATAATGGATAAATCATGATTAATGTTATTTATTTATTTAATTTATAATACAATCTAAATATTGTTTTCTCTTGCATCGCACGGGCCACGCACTAGTATTTAAGTATGAGATAAGTAAATAATTTGTTTATATCTATTAAACAATATAAATATGTTATTAAGTAGACATTATATAAGCATATATGATTGTACTAATTTATGAATAAATAAACAATATTATGAATAGATAAATATAATTAGAAACTTGTTTATTACTTATTATAAATTTATATATCTAACCAAAATAATTAATAATAAATGAAAAATGCAACTATTTTTTATTATTGATTTTGAATTTATCTTTTAAAATAAAATGTTGGAAATATAACTTAATTACACTTTTATATTTATTTAGTTTGAAATATAACCTAATTACATTTTATACTTTTATATTTATTTCCCATTGTTAGTTGTTAATTTATAATATTTGAAAAAGAAATCTTAAAGACATTAAAGTGGATAAACCAAGAAGGTTGTAAAGGAATGAGTACCGGTGTTTTAAAAGTTGCTAGGCACCTGCTAGGCGCTCGACCAGTGCCTAGCGCCTAGAGCGCCTAAGCGGGGCCTAGGCGGCACCTAGACGGGGCTATAAATCAATATTAAATACCTTATTTTTTATTATTTTAATTACCTACAAAATAAAAATATCACAACTTATAATAAATACTTTATTTGTTATTGTGTTGCAATATGGAAAATTTCAAAATTAGTCCCACAACTATCGGGTTTTCCACTTTTGGTCCCGATGGAATGGTGTTTCCCAAAATTTGTCCACTAACTTCTTCAAATCGTTCAAAAGCAGGACAATTGTGGGCCCAGATGCCTTTTCCGGCCCGGAGCTGCCGACGTGTCTTCAAAATATTACACCTGGCCGATCAATTAACAGCGTAGCTGATGACATGGCCACTAAATCCACCATGGCAGATGACGAGGCACAGAGGGGCGGAAAACACAATAAAATTTGGGGAAATGTCCCAAAAATGAATCGATCGCTCATTTCATTTTTTCTTCTCGCATGAACAATAGAACCCTAGTTCCCGAATTCATCTCTTAATTTCGCACACGCTGAAAATCTGGCAAAGAAGATAATACACGGTAACAATCTATTGAAGAAGGACCTGTTGAAGGCTTTCAGAAATGGCTTTCATGAGACAAAAAATGCACATAAATTTGCCTCCTCCGATGTATCGTGAGTTTTTTCTTTTCTTTTACTGTTTTATAGTAAAATCGAATCTTGGCATGTGATATGGTCTGTATTTGGAAGTAAATGGGGTGTGGTGTTTTTGTCATGTTGTGTTTGAATGAAATATATTTAATAGTCACATGTTTGTGAAAGTTTAGACATGTTTATTTCTTTATTGTTGTGTCTGTTTGTACTTACTCATTTTTTTATTTTTTTGTGTTTTGTTTATAATATTTCAGATCCTGATTCAGATAGTTTCTCTTTAGTGGTGCATTGGGGTGGGAAGTTTATTAATGCTCCTATAGCAAAATATGAAGGCTTAATTGCAATTAAACCACCACCTTTAAGCTTTTTGCAATTTAAACTCAACCTTAAGGTAATTCCAAACAAATCGCAACCTTTTTTAAATTTTTCAACCCGAACCCAAAGTTGATCGGCAGCGAGCTCCTTGCCTACGTGTCCGGCAGGCCGTCTCACGTGTCATCAGGCTTCACTGACGAGGATTCCACAGTGTCACACACACTCTGGCAGGAAGGGTAAAATTGTAACTTCAACCCTTACAAATACAAAATGAGGGTGTATTGCATTTCAGAATCACAAATTAATCTGTAAAATTAGGGCATAACTGTTTCAGTTTTCCGCCATTCATCACGATTCAAAGACCGTTTCAATTTTTATCCAGATGTTCTGGTGATTGCCGCGATTCATGAAGAAGAAATTGGCGCCACTTGGTCGCGACATTCGTGCATCGGCAATGGGAAAAAACAGGTAGATCCAAAATTATTCTCCTGAATCTCATATGTCGGCCCCAAATTTCGTGCTGAAATTTTTGAATTTTAGGATTTGCCCTTGTTGTCCGACAGCAAACAATGGCAGAATAATATTTTTATGTTTGAATTCATGTTAAATTAGGGTTTTTTTCATGATAAATTAGGGATTTGTGTGAAATCTGGTTTCCATGTGAATTCATGATTTTTTATTAACATTAGAGTTAATACGAAATGAGGGTTGTATTGCAACTAGGGTTATCATAAAATTAGGGTTTTTTGCATTTTAGGGATTTTTAGTTATTTGAAGTTTTATTTAAAGCTGAATTTATCTATAAGTTATGTCTATGATATGGGATTGATTATATCCCTATGTTTGATTGCAGTGAAAAATTTTCCCTTTTCTTCAACTATGGTGGTACATTTATCAAGATTGGAGATTCAACTGAATACTATGGTGGAAATTTCAAGTCTGTGTATGGCTTAGACACTGATAGGTTTGGATACTTTGATTTGGTAGAAGAAGTAGAGAAGCTGGGGGTTAAGGAGTTTGATAAAATAATGTATCAAGATCCAGGGAAGCTGGGATATGCTGGTATGAAAGAGAGAGTGGATGACAGTGGTGTTATGGAGATGATCAACACTGGCCATAAGCTTAGATCTGTAATACAGGTTTATGTTGCTGCTAGTTACCCTAATAAGGAAGATGGAGATAGTGTTAAAGTAGTTCATAATGCATCTGAAGGGAGTAACTCTGCAAACAGAGTGGCAGATGGTGATGGTGATGTGAATGTTAGAGATAATGCAACTGGAGATGAACACCTAGATTCTGATGCAAATATAGATTATGATGATGATGCAAATGATAGAGATAAAGCAGTTGGAGGTGGAGTGCTACCAGACGTGGCTATGTGGTCTGATGAGGATAGTGATGATGAAGATTATTTCTCAGTGGGTGTTAGCTCATCAGATGATGATCTGACTGATGAGGAACATGCTTCTGATGATGATGAATACCTTGAGGCCAGACAAAATTTGAGGAAATGTAAAAACAAGATGGTTGAAGAAGATGGTGGAGCAAACAATACATTCTCAGATTGTCTGCCTCAAATGGACTTGGATGGGTGTGAAGTGCTACAGCATGCTCTCATGTCTGAGGAGTCAGGCAGTGAAATGGAGATGGATGATGAGGGAAATTGCATTAAAAGGAAGCTGAGGGTTATTTATGATCCTAGGTGTGATCATAATGCTCTTCAGTTTGAGCTTGGTATGAGATTTGAGAGTATTGACCAATGCAAGAGAGCAGTGAGAAAGGTGGCCATTGTTCAAGGTAGAAATATCCAAAATATGAGAACTAATAAAAGGCAGTTAGAGGTAAGATGTGAAGATGGGTGTCCTTGGAGATTATATGCAAGTGCAGTTACAAGAGATGGTATTGTTGCTGTAAAACAACTCCACAGGGAACACAAATGCCACAGAAATGTCCACACAAGGCAAGTAACAGCTGGCTGGATTGCTGAAGAGTTTTTGGAAAAGTTTAGAAAAAATCCTAACATGAAAATTGCTCAATTGGTAGATGTAATTTCTGACAAATATGCCATTGAACCTAGCAAATGGAAGCTTTACAGAGCAAAGTGGACAACAATGGAGATGCTTAGAGGTTTTGTGTCAGAGCATTATGCTTCTTTGAAAAGTTACATGTTGGAGTTGCAGAGGGTTGACAGAGAAGGGAAGTTTGAGTTTCTTTTGGGTGATCATTCTACATATAGGGCCTTCTATGTAGGGTTTAGTGCACTGAAAAAAGGTTTTTTGACTGGGTGTAGGCCAATTTTGGGTCTTGATGGCTGCTTCTTAAAAACATTCCTTGGAGGAGCATTATTATGTGCCACAGCAAAGGATGGCAATAATCAAATTTATCCCGTGGCTTGGGCTGTTGTAGAAACTGAAAATGAGGAATGTTGGAGGTGGTTCCTGATGATTTTGTTTTCAGAGCTGGGGATAAGAGATGGTTTGGGATACACATTTATATCAGACCAGCAGAAACTAAGCTATTCTCTTTGTATAATGTTTCCTTCTGTTTTCTATATGTAAATTAAATTTAAACTTAATTAGTTGTCATTGTTACAGGGTCTTTTAAATGCATTGAGTGATTTGGTACCTCATGCTGAGCATAGGAATTGTGCTCGGCATGTGTATATGAACTGGAAGAAAAGCTTCAAGGGTGAAGGTTTGAAGTTTATTTTTTGGAGGATTGTGCTTAGCACTCATATGGGTGACTACAACATTGCACTGGGAGATTTGAAGGTTGAAGATCCAAATGCCTATGAGGACTTCATTAAAAGAGATCCATCTAAATTCTGTAAGGCTTTTGTTTCTCCCTTACCTAGGTGTGACATGATAGAGAACAATGTCAGTGAGACATTTAATGGCTTCATTGTCAAAGGTAGAGGGCAACATATTATTGAAATGCTTGAATTTGTGAGGAGTGAGTTGATGAAAAGACAACATGGGAAACTTATGGAGTTTAGTGGTGTTACTGACAAAATTTGTCCTCGAATAAGAACAAAGCTAGAGCAGAACAAATATAAGTCCAGAATTTGTGTCACAAAGCCTGCAGTTGGAGACAGATTTCAGGTTGCCTATGAAGATGATCAATTTATGGTTGACTTGAGAAGTAACACATGTACTTGTAGACAATGGGACATAATTGGAGTACCATGTGTACATGCTTGCTCAGCCATACATTTTCAGCACAAGGAGCCAACAGACTTTGTTTCTGAATACTACTCAGTTGAGAGGTACTTGATGATGTACAACAACTCTTAGAGCCACTCAATAGAAAGAAGTTGTGGCCAGTGGCAGAAGGCTACCCAATCAAACCACCTCCTTTCAAGAAAATGCCAGGTAAAGAAAAAGAGAAGAAGAGCTCCAGAGGAAGAGTTGAGATGTGGAACTAAGTTGAGAAGGTTTGGTTTAACTATGACTTGTCAAAGATGTTTGCAGAAGGGACATAACAAGAAGTCTTGTACTAATCCCCAAGTTGAAAACCTCCTAAGGTATTATAACGGATTATGCTATAATTGATTTTCAACTGATTATGCTATAACTGATTTCAATTACAATTATTGATAGAATCCAAGAGGGAGGCCAAAGAAAAACCCAGGACAACAATCAACCCAAGAGGAAGTTGTTGAAGCTGGGAGTCAGAATGTTGCTGCAGCTACTCAGACGTAGAGGAGAGACAAACTACCTGTTAGGAGAGAGATGCCCACATAAGATGCCTCTTTGATACAAAAAGAACGAGCCTTGGTAAATCATATACAAACTTGTTTATGTGACAAGTCTTGTTTCTTTTTTTTTTTTCTTTTTATTCAATTAACTTGTACTCATGTACTTGGTTTGGTTATATTCAGGCTAGGAAAGGATATGTTATTTACATTCTGAGGAAACAGGGAATACTTATATGAGGGTATGTTTTACATAGTTATTGTCTTGTTCATATTATTGATAAATTAGTTGTAGTTGTGACTATTGCAGCTGTCTTTCTCTTATGTGAATACTTATGTGATGGTATTTTGTCATTTCTTTAATTTTCTTCTGTATGTGACTCTTGCAGTTGTCTTCTGAAAGAAGGGTGCATCTCATTCCTAGAAAGGATGCAAGTGGGTCAAGAAGCAAAGCAAGTGGATCAGGAAGCCAAGGTACTAGGAAAAGCAAAAGAGTTGAAAGTAGGAGTCCAAGAAGGAGTTCAAGACTGAGAGCAAGTGAACAAGTCTTGGGCACTCAAGAAAGTTCTGCACACAAAAGATGATTGATTAGGCTATTTGAACAAGTCTATGTATTTGGATAAGAATGTGTGATGGTGATTCTGTGTGTTTTGTCTTTTTGGTTTTGAAGATGGTTTAAGAACAGTACTGTGACCATGTTTTGGGAATTTTGTTGTTTGAAATGATGCCAAACATTATTCAGCTTGCCAAACACACATGCTATGAAACAACAATTGGTCTTTTGACAAAATGAGGTTGTGCATTTGTTAATTTTTTTTTCTGCTGCTGGTTGTGTTGTGTTGTGTTATGATCAACAAAATGAGGGTTATGGAATGACTGAATCATGTGGCATTGCCTCTCTTGGAGTATCTACTTATTGCAATTTTTGGTTGTTCAATTTAGGTGGATCTGAAAGTTATAAAAGCATTCAACAAAAAATAACAAACTTACTAATTCAAACTAATCAGTGAAAGTATTGCCCAAACATTATAATATTACACATAATCCATTAGTTCAACCAAAAATTACTCAAAGCATACTGCTTACATTACACATAATCCATGAAATCAAGCTAAAATTGTTCAAAACCTACTGCAAAAACAAATTACATTACACCTTAATTTCAGCATTTCATCATAGGATTACAGCTTCATTTCAACATCTTCATTCTCTGTCCCTTTCCATCCTCACCAAACCAACCCATAACAACAAGAAGAGCAGCTACAACCAAGCAAAAAATGAGAACATTCATCTTCTTTTCTAAGTTTTGCACATGAGTATCTACCGTGCTCTTAAGGGTCAACATAATTTCTGCATTTTTTTGAGCTACATCACCAAGCTCATTCACCCTGCTCTGAAACTCCTCTACCATGTCAAAGTTTTCATCTTTCACTCTTGTATGCATTTTCTCCATGCCCAGCTTGCACCTTAGCTGTTTCTCTAAATCCTCTTTCTCTGCCTTCATTCTTAAATAACATGACTTCTGGAAGTCGGGCATGGGCGGATCAATCCATTCAAATAAACCGCAATCTAGTATCTGCTACAAGATAAGTGTGACCTACAGCTCGAACAAAAAAAAAAAAAAAAAAAAAAAAAGAAATACTCCATCAACACCACGTATTTACCTTTCTATTTGGACACCGGTAGAACCTTCTACATGGATTATCGATCGTCTTCGATGTCAGAATGTCTGCCTCACCATGACGGCATCCCATTCGGCCGTGAAGGTTCGAACTGCCATTACTCTGAGAACTCTGGCTTCTGTTGGAAGAGAACGACATTTTCAGAGGTATGGGGACGAGCAACTCAAGTAGGTTTGCATTTGGGAAGGAGAAGCTCGGCAATTGGGAGAGGAGCTCGAAATTGAGGCGATACGAAGTTTAATTTGGGCGATTTAGGCGATTAGGGTTCTAATAGGGAAGAATCGAATTAGATGCATTTTTATTTGAGTGTGTGTGACACTGTGGAATCCTCGTCAGTGAAGCCTGATGACACGTGAGACGGCCTGCCGGACACGTAGGCAAGGAGCTCGCTGCCGATCAACTTTGGGTTCGGGTTGCAAAATTTAGAAAAGGTTGTGATTTGTTTGCAATTACCTTAAGGTTGAGTTTAAATTGCAAAAAGCTTAAAGGTGGTGGTTTTAATTGCAATTAAGCCAAATATGAAGGGGGCCAGAGGGTTATATGTGATTATACTTCCCAAGGTGAAATGAAGTTTGTATTTTTCAATAAGTGGTGTGAACAGGTAGGTGTTGTTGGGGGGTAAGAGGTATTACATTTATGACGAAGACGGGTTTAAGTTATTGGCTAGTGAAGATGACCTGCAAACTTGTGCACTTCAAGCTGTTAAAAGCAGAGAGTTGATTATATATGTTGATGTGGAAGTTGAAACTCCTGTTGTACCCAATCTTAATCCACAAAATAAAAACAGAGGCAGTGTGTGGGTACCAGTTGAGGATGCCTACAAAATAGTTAGGAAATTTGTGGGAGTTAGTGACTGTGAGTCTGACTCTAATTCATTACATGATTCTGACTATAACATGAGTAATGAAGTTAGTGAAGATGATGAAATATGGTCAGAATATGTTGATAAGAGTAATGTAGATGTGAGTAATGTTGATGATGTGGTCCATGGTAGTAATGTTGATGTGTCTGAGAGTAATATTCATGTGCAAAAAAGAAGTGTGGATGTGAGTAATATAGATGCTGCAGATAGTGTTTCTGAGGATGATGATGTAGTCCATGAAGTGCTTCATTTTGATGAGAGAAGAGTGTCTGATGATGAATGTGAGTCTAATGATCCTGTGTTCAACCCTGCCATGATTTTTAAACCAACATTTGAGTTAGGCATGGTGTTTGCTACTAAAGCAGAATTCAAAAAGGCAGTACAATCTCATGCTATTAGAAGTAAAAGAAGCATACACTTTACAAAAAATGAAAGCAGAAGAGTGTATGCACAGTGTAAAGCTGAGGGATGCAAGTGGAGAATGAATGCACTAAAGAAAAAAGATGAAGCATCTTACAAGCTTTCAACCTATGTACCTACCCATACTTGTCCTCCTGAATTTAATGTGAAGAATGTGACAAGTAAATGGCTTAGTGAAAAGTACATTGGGAATTTTGAGGTTGATCCAAAGAGAAGCACAAAAGGGTGGAGGGCAGAGGTGATAAAAAAACTGGGGGTAGATGTCTCTAAACAACAGGCATACATGGCAAAGAAGAGAGCACTTGCAGTGATAGAGGGTGATCCATCTGTGCAATACACTAAGCTATGGGATTATGCAGAAGAGGTTAGGCAAACAAACCTTGGAAGCACAGTGATCTTAGACACTGAGTCTGAAGATGGAGAACTTAGGTTTAGCAAATTCTATTGTTGTTTTGCTGCTTTGAAAGAAGGTTTCAAGGGGGGTTGCAGGCCTATAATTGGGGTAGATGGGTGTCACCTGAAGGGTCCTCATGGGGGTATTTTGTTAACTGCATGAGGAGTTGACCCCAACAACAATTTTACCCCATAGCATATGCCATAGTGAGAGGGGAAACAAGGGAGACTTGGTCATGGTTTCTAACTGTACTAAGGTCAGACATTGAGATTGAAAAAGAAGAGGAGATGGCATTCATGAGTGACAAACAGAAGGGCCTTATTCAAGCTTTTAAAGAAGTTTTTCCATCCAGCCCCCATAGATTCTGTGTTAGACACCTCCACAGCAATTTCAAAAATGTTGGTCTCAGGGGTCTTAGTTTTAAGACTGCCCTATGGAGGGCAGCTCAAGCAACAACAAAAGGGGAATTCAAACTGAGGATGATGGAAATGAAAGAATTAAGTCCAGCTGCCTGGGAATGGTTCCATGATAAACCACCCTCTGAGTGGTCTAAGTCACATTTCTCTGAATTTCCTAAATGTGATATGGTGCTTAACAATGTTTGTGAGTCTTTCAATTCAAACATTTTGGATGCAAGAGAGAAACCTATAATCACTATGCTAGAATGGATAAGAGAGTATTTGATGAGGAGGTTACAACAAAACAGGGACAAGGCAGCTGCAAAGTGGCAAGGCAGATTGTGCCCCAAAATTCAAAAGATTTATGAGAAGCATTTGGAGATGGCGTCTGACTGCATCCCCATAAAGGAAGATGACAACAACTACCAAATCACATGTTCTGGTGGAGATCAGTATTCTGTAGCTCTTGACAAGATGAAATGCAGTTGTAGAGCATGGGGATTGAGTGGTATACCATGTCCACATGCCCTGAGAGCCATTCTCCACCAAAAAAGGGATCCAGTGGACTATGTAGACCATTGCTACTCAGTTGAGGTTTACAAAAAGGTTTATGGACCAGCCATAATGCCTTTGAGTGGTGAATGTTTATGGGGGAAAAGTATGTACATCCCTCCTTTGCCACCAAATTTTGGTAGAGGCAGAGGCAGACCAAGTTCTCTTAGAAGGAGAGAACCTGATGAGGCAGACCCTAAAAGAAAGAAATCATGAAGTGGTCCCTACAGACTGAAGAGGTAACAAAGCACAGTGAAATGTAGGAAGTGCCATGAACCAGGTCATAATGCATTGACTTGTAAAAATCCAGCCATGAAAAAGGTAAGTTAATGTTTTCATTATATTTAATATTATAGGTTTGTTAGGTTTTTGTCTATATAACACTGTTATCATGTGTATATACAGGGTAAGAAGGGAAAACAAACTGAAGGTCAAACCCATTCCAATGAAGCACCATTTGGTAATCCACAACCTCAATGGGAGAAACTAAAGGTATTCTAATCTCTCCATTTTCTTTTTAGTTTATACTTGCACTTATACAATGTGCACTTTTAAATGTGTTTATGTAGGTCACCAAAGGAAAAGGAAGTGTGAATCAAACTCATACAAATGCAAATCCTACAGTCCTACCTCCCAATCCAGATGATGTGATGTTTAGTCAAATTTCTGATGAAGATTTGGTTGCAGCCATTGAAAGCCAGACTTATAGCACAATGTATCAGCACATGCAGCCCCATAAGCCAGGCCCAACTCCATTTCAACAATTGAAGATGTCCTCAGTTTCAGCCCCAAACCCCCTTCAAACAAGGATCAACATTAAAGCACCCCTACCAATAATAGGTGGATATACACTGCCAGTATGTTCATGTGTGATTTTACACCATATTTATTGAGTATCTAGAGCTTAGTCATTCCATTATTGGTGTATAAATTGCATATTTGTGCTTTAATTCTCTATTTGTTGGAAATATATTACACGTGCTTGTTTTGTATATAGTTCCACATATTTGTAGAGCTTTTGGCTATTGGAGGTGCATGGTGAGTACCTAAAACCCCCGGGATGATGATAGATTGATGCACGGATGAGAAAAATGGAAGAAACGAGTGAAACGGACAAAAACGAGCGAAGCCGTACACTTGCGGTCGAGCTTTAAAAATATAGGCGAACAAGTTTTTGGCGCCGTTGCCGGGGACCAATATAATTATTTGTATCAATATTACGATAGATAGTGAAAATTTTAATTTAGATATTTTTTTTGTTTTTGGTAACATAATCTCTCATATTCGTGATTTCAGGAAGTGCATGTTAACTCGCTCTAAAGGTGTACAACTACCACCCTTGATTGACGAAGTTGAAGCATTCGCTAGACGCAATAGTGCAACAACTAGAAAAAGAAAGGGCAATCCAGAGTGCACAATGGACGAGAAAGAGCAAGAACAACCGAGGCAAGCAATTCGTGACCACTTTCGGCCTCAATTTAATAGGAATTTTGGCGGGATTGCGCATATACCCGTCAATGCGAATAATTTCGAACTGAAGCCCTGCTATATCTCGATGGTGCAAAACAACCAATTTGGTGGACACCCGACCGAGGATCCGAATCAACACTTGGCCCAGTTTTTGCAAATATGTGATTTGGTCAAGTACAATGGTGTCTCCGAGGATGCCATACGGCTGCGTCCATTCCCTTTTTCTCTAAAGGATAAAGCTCGGAGTTGGTTGTCGATGATTTCTGATGGAAGCATTACTACTTGGGAGGAGTTGAACCAGAAGTTTCTGCTTAAATATTTTCCTCCGAGCAAGTCGATGCAACTCAAAAGCGAGATTACTCAATTTAGGCAGCAAGACTCGGAGCCTTTATACGAGGCGTGGGATCGATTTAGAGAATTATTGAGAAGATACCCTCAACATGGTTTTCTGGAGGATCAACAACTTTGTTTCTTTTATAATGGGTTGTTGGAGAGCCTTTGTAGATGCAGCTGCTGGAGGAGCTCTATTGGCTAAAACACCGGAGGAAGCGTCCAATTTGTTGGAAGAGATGGCCATGAATAGTTACCAGTGGCCTTCGAAGAGGACGAACATCAGACGAGTGGCGGAGGTGACGTCTTCTGATCCTATTAAGGAGTTAGCGGCTCAAATGTCGTCGTTGACGACGAAATTGAATGCTTTGGCAAAAGGCTCTGATCAGATGAGTGGAGTACAAGGCCACGTGTTACCACCGGATCCTTTAGGAGAGGCTAATTTTATCAATACTCGGAACTTCAACAACTATCGCCCTAATCCAGTGCCGGGTTTTTATCACCCGAATAATAGGAATCATGAAAATTTTTCCTATGGAAATACAAAGAATGTGCTCCAACCACCGTCGGGGTTTAAGGTGGTGAATGGCGAGATTGTCGAAGAGAAGAAGATGGACATGGAAAATATTCTGGTAGCTTTCATGAATGAGACGAGAAATCGTTTCAATAGAGATGAAGAGAATTTGGACAAGATTGAGAATCATGTGACACAATTGGCTACGACAATGGAGGCTCAAATGAAAAATTTGGAGATGCAAATTGGTCAATTAGCCAAGGCCGTGGGAAGCCAGCACCAAAGGGGTCAATTTCCTAGCAATACCGAGTTGAACCCAAAAGAGCAATGTCATGCCATCTATATACGAAGTGAAGAGGAGAAAGTTTGTGATGAGTTAATGAAGGAACCAAGTGTGATAGCAACGTCAAGGCCTGGGATTACATTTAATTCTAACTTTGGCTCTCCTGAACTTTCTATCCTTTTACCTTTTCCTCAACGACTTGCGAAGAAGAAGGAGGTTGAGGAACATGAGACGGTGACCTTAACGGAAGAGTGTAGTGCGATCCTCCAACGCACGATTCCTCCGAAGCTTAAGGACCCCGAGAGCTTTACGATTCCTTGCACTATTGGGAATATGTTCTTTAGCAAAGCTTTATGTGATCTTGGTGGAAAGTATTAATCTCATGCCTTTGTCAATTTTCAGGAAACTCGGATTGGGAGAAGTAAAGCCGTCTAGGATGACCTTGAAATTGGCGGATCGTTCGATAACATATTCGAAGGAGATTGTTGAGGATGTGCATGTCAAGATTGATAATTTCATTTTTCCTGTTGATTTTGTTGTATTGGACATGGAGACGTGCCATTGATTCTAGGGCGTCTATTTTTAGCAACAGGAGATGCGTTGATTGACGTCAAAAATGGAGAACTTACTTTGCGTATTAATGATGAGCATGTGTTATTTTCAATACATAATAAGCCTATACTTCATGATAGTAACATGCATACTAACTTTATTGATTCAGGTGATGTGATCAAGTTGGAAGATATGAAGAACTCGGAGAGCAAAACGGTGAAAATCAGAGTTGAAGATAAGTCGCGCAAAGCTGACACGGGCAGTGACACGGGCATTATGCCCGTGTCAGGTGGTCGTGTCAGAGGCCTGGCAGAAACTCAAAATTTTCAGACGCGACACGGCCCGTGTCAGGTGCCCGTGTCAGGTGCCCAGGTACGGCTTTTGGAGCACGGACGACGACGCGACCCGGACCATCAAGCACGGCCCGTGTTGGAGGTCGTATCAGGTGTACTATCTACTCCTATTTCAGCCGAATCAAGTTCTTCAAAGCCCGACGCACCGATTATGGACCTCAAACCATTGCCAGATCATCTGACATATGCATACTTGGGTGATAATTGCACATACCCGGCGGTGCCGAAAAGGGGAGGAATGACAGTAGTGACAGAGGAGAAAGAAGAATTGATTGCACGAGATGAAGCGACTTTTTCAGTCCATGAACGTCCTACATTGATTTGAAGGAGCCTTGATTGAACTTTACAGGCGTCTGGCTGAAGACGTTAAACTTAGCGCTTGTTGGGAGGCAACCCAATGTCTACTGCTTTATTTTTTTTATTATTTTTTTTTTGTTTGTTTGATACTTTGTTTTTCTTCCTTACAGAATATTACATGGAGAGATTTACATGACGAAGAATGTGTTTCGATATCTATACTAGCAATTGTCACCTCTCCAATGATGTTTTGTAAGTTTTCTCTATTCTACTTTTATTGAAATTCTATTCTTCCCTTTTGTGCTTCATATAATTTCATTCAAGTTTGGGGGGGGAGATGTGATATTTTGATTTGAGAATTTTAGAGAGAAGATAACAAGATATCTTTCATTATCTTTGCATATCATTTAGTTGCATGTTAGGTTTATCGCTTTAGCACGTTTATTGCTTTCTTAGGATTTAAGTAGTTGTTGTTGGTTGACTTTGATCCACCTTGATGAGTTTCTTGTGCATATTTGATATATAATTCGGGCATAATATGCTAAGTGATGGTATTTGAGAATTGATGGAATGATGAATTTGAATGATTGGTTGATGCTTTTAATTCATGAATATATGATCCTTTGTGAGCTTTTGAGCCTTATTTTTTTGTTGAGTGTATCATTCATTGTTGTTTGAATTCTAGAACTTGCATTGGTATCTTTATCGAGACCACATGGTGTGTGCTTTTTGTGAAAGTGACCTAAGGCATATTTTTGTTTGAGCCTTTTGACCCGTATAGCTTACCAAATGATATTTTTATTCCCTAGTTAACCCTTTTGAGCTTTTGCCTATTTTCTTTGAATGCCACATATTGAGCTACATCTATATTTTTCCTTGTCCTTACTTGAGTATTTAGGATTACATCATGTGAAGAGGATGAGTGTATTGTTTGTGGTGTGGATAAAGGGAAGACGTGAATGGGAGTGTAAGTTGATGAGGGAAGTTGAATGAGGTTGATAGAGTCGAAAAAAAAAAGATTATATAAAAAAAAAATTGAAAAAAAAAAGCTGAAAAAACTGAAAAAAATGAGAAAAAAAGAAAGAAAAAAAATTGTATGTATAATTGCTTATATTTTAGCATTGACTCAAATAAAGGCGGTTTGGTTGGATTTTTGGAATTTCTTATACGGTCTGCGAGTATTGATTGAAATGGGGTATGAGATAAGTTGTTTTGAGCTTGATATTGACTAATAGGTGATGAAGTGAAGAAGTTCATGTTTTGTAGTTCTAGATGCTCATGTTTTCGATACTTTATCCATATTTTTCCTACCCTAACCAAAGAGCCTACATTACAACCAAATGAAAGTCCTTTTGATTCATGAATTGCATGCACAATAAGTGGTGGAGATAGTAGACGATTTGCAAGCTTATGGTAATTTTTCAACATTGAATTGAATTGAGCGATTATTTCCAAATATACGTTTGAGAGCGAGAGTATACACTTATCCGGTGAGATTTGTGGATTGAAGGTATTGACCATGATTTTGATGAAGCATTCTTTAAGTTTAAAAATTCCAGAACTTAGTTATGTTATTTGCCCGATGCATATTGAGAATGTGTATGATTGACTTTGATAGTGTGATTGTTTTTCCTTGTGTGTTGGTAGGAGTTTGATGCATTGATCGGGACTATCAATGGTTTAAGTTTGGGGGTTTGTTCATGTGTGATTTTACACCATATTTATTGAGTATCTAGAGCTTAGTCATTCCATTATTGGTGTATAAATTGCATATTTGTGCATTAATTCTCTATTTGTTGGAAAGGTATTACACGTGCTTGTTTTGTAGATAGTTCCACATATTTGTAGAGCTTTTGGCTATTGGAGGCGCATGGTGAGTACCTAAAACCCCCGGGATGATGATAGATTGATGCACGGATGAGAAAAATGGAAGAAACGAGTGAAACGGACAAAAACGAGCGAAGCCGTACACTTGCGGTCGAGCTTTAAAAATATAGGCGAACACAGTATTCAGTTCACAACCAACCAACTCAAAGTCCATTGTTATTGATGGTGGCCAAAAGTTCATGGACCTTTCTCAAAATTCAGTTTGTGTACAGAAAAGAAAGAAAAAGAAGCAGTGACAACATGGTCTGATGTGTTTGTTGTGTTTGATGTTTTAGAAGTGCTTTTGGTCTGATTAGGTTGTGTTGTAAGTGCTTTTGGGTTGTAAGTGTTGGAAGTGTTTGCTGTACTTTGGAAGTGTTGGACAGTAACATCTCTTTTGAAGTGTTTGTTGTTTTGAAACTGTATTTGGGAGTGTTTGATGTCTCCCTTATTTTTGTGACTAGAAGTTTCAGTTGTTTTGATGATAAATATGGGGCATGTTTGCTGTTTAGAAGTGTGATTAAACAGCTTTTGTAATGACACTTTAATTTATATATATAATTCAGTTTATGTTTTGCTGATAAGCAGTTTATTTATGTTGTAGACATTGTACTTTTTATGTTTAAAACTCTTAACAAACAATACCAATAAAAGTATATGAAATAAAGAACATAATTCATGAATAATACATAGTCAAACATACATTACATAAGCTGCAAATTGAATACACAACATTAGTACATAGTCTAACGTTCACTGAAGCATAGTTCAGTTTTCAAAAGGAACACAACAACAACATTCATCCATACATGATAGTTCAGTTTTCAAAAGGAACAAAACAACAACAACATTCATCCATACAGTTCCCAAAATGATGAGATTTGATGAGAATCACCCTACCACTTCAGTTCTTCAGAATCACCCTTACACTTTACTTCTTCAAAATGATGAGAATTGACACAACCAAAAGAACCAACACAAATATAATTTTCTTTAACTTTCTGTTCATTGCAGCCAAACCTAGTGTCTCTTTCTTCAGCTTCAAAATATCTTCTTCATTTGCATTCATCTTCTTCAAAAGTCCAGGAATTAATGCTTTAGCCCTACGACACATTGGGGGGTCATACCAGTCAAAGAAAACACAACCTCCTCCTTCCTGCAACGTCCCATTTCAAAATTACAAAAAAAAAGAAAAAAAAAACATCAGAAACTGAGAAATCTGAATAATCATTCCATTAAGGAAAAAAAAAGAACGTACCTCGTTCTTCAAGCAAGCCTGGAAGCGCAGACCAGGGTTCTCGGTCGTCCATGAGGTCCGTATCACAGCCCTACGACCACAATAGCAATCAACACTTCCCGTCACAAAAGACATACTGTACGTATGAGATTTATCTCGCCAAGAACAGATTTTCAGCGTGCTCGAAAGCTGTGAGACGAATTCAAGAATTAGGGTTTACGCGAGAAGAAAAAATGAAATGAGCGATCGATTCAATTTTGGGACATTTCCCCAAATTTTATTGTGTTTTCCGCCCCTCTGTGCCTCGTCATCTGCCACGGTGGATTTAGTGGCCGTGTCATCGGCTACGCCGTTAATTGATCGGCCAGGTGTGATATTTTGAAGACACGTCGGCAGCTCCGGGCCGGAAAAGGCATCTGGGCCCACAATTGTCCTGCTTTTGATCGATTTTAAAAAGTAAGTGGACAAGTTTTGGGAAACACCATTCCATTGGGACTAAAAGTGGAAAACCCGATAGTTGTAAGACTAATTTTGAAATTTTCCCTGTTGCAATAGGTCTTGAATTTCCAACTTTTTCATTTGAGTGTTTCAATTCTAAGTTATTGTCATTTAAAGGCTTAATTTTACATTCTAGTTCTCAATTTAAGACACCAACTAACATTATATTTTTACATAAATATATAAACCAAAATACTACTATTTTAAATTTATATTTGAATTATAAAAATCTTTAGTACAGTTACTTTAGTAAGAAGATTAATTCATTTAAGCTAAATTAATTTTGTATTTATGCATAAATGTAATTTATTTGAATTAATTTAAGCTAAATTAATTTTGCATTTATGCATAAATGTAATTTATTTGAATTAATTTTCTTACGAAACTAGTTTTAAAAATATATTTAATACTTTTATTATACGTATTACTTTTATAAAAATATAAATTTTATTCAAAAATAATGTTTTCTATAATTTTGTTTAAAAAAAATAATTTTATAAATAGTTTATTTTTTAATATTATCACATATTTAGGTTAAAATTAAGTGAAGAATTATTTTTTAACTTTTAAAATAAATTTCATTAAGCTTTTGTATAAATGTAAATTATGAAATAATAATTTTATTAGGTAATTTTACTAATATATTTAATATTTTTCATTATAAGTACTTAAAAAATAAATTCAAAACAAAAGTATTGTGGTTTACATATTTATGTCAATATACAAAGTGATTGAAGTCTTAAATTGAAAAGTAGAATGTAAAAATAGGACTTATAGTGAGAATAACTTAAAAGTGAAACCTTCAATTGAAAAGGTTAAAAATTTAGATCATGTTATGACACAATACCCAAAAATCAAGATCTACAATAGAATTTCCCCTATATTTTAAAGAAAAAAATATAAGAACAAAATAATGTAATTAGTATTTAAAAAAAATATGCTGCCGAGCCTGCCTAGGTGCGCCTAGGTCCGCCTAACCGTTTGGGCGCCAAGCCGGCCAATTCTGCCTAGGCGCCGCGTGGTAAATTTTTTCGGCCGATTTGTGCAAAACGGAGGCAATCGGGCACCGCGTAACGCCTGGGCGCCGCCTGGACCAATTTTTAGAACAGTGGAAATTACTTATACAATGAAGATACGTTTTTCAATTACCATGGAATAATCAATCGTACATAAAGATTTGGTTTATGTGCAAAAGTGATAAAGATTGCATAATAAAGTAAAAAATGCATCTTGACCAAGTTACTATGGATACGCTAACATATATATATATATATATATATATAGCTATTTCAACCATTTCTCACCTATATAATAATAGACAAGATAAAAGAAAACAAATGGATATTTTAACTTAACAACTACTTAACCAATCAACTTTATGGCAGTATATATATAATTTTGGCCAAATACATAACAATAGTACGATTCATCTACATTGTACATCGTGCATTGGAGAGGACTTTTGAGTTTTGTAGTTAAAAACTTAACATCTAACTAGTGAGAATTTCGTGCGATGTACGGAATTTCGTACCTTAGAATTTTAAAAATTTTATTTTAGCAATATATTAGCCCGCTACCTATTTATATTAATATAAATATTATTTTTAACATATATATATATATATTTTAATTCATCAAAAATAATAGTTTTACATATTTTGGTTCATCATAATACTCAGATATTATTTTATTCAAAAATTTATTGTCGTATAATGTCATTATTATTTATAACACTTAGAAGTAATATTTGTTTATATAATGATAAATATTCAATTTATATTAATATTATTTACTGATGTAATTAATTTAAAAATATATAAGTAAATTTAATTTTTGTTAAGAATGTGCTTATATGTGAGTTAAGATTAAATGGAATGTGTCCAAAAAAAATCTGCTTATGATATTTTTTTTTAAATGTTGAACGAATTTGAAATTCAAATTACAAATCAACTGTCAGTTTTTTAAAGGATTTCAAAAAAACTCACCAATTGTAGTAAAATTTAAATTTTTTATGCGGGATTTTACTTTCTACTTAAAGTAAATGTCTATTGATATTTTATTGTAATAGTTGTGGTACAAAAACCACCCATTTAATCAGTTGACATTTTACATAAATTATTCAGTTACACTATTTTGATCATCAAATGTTTTCTTAAGGCCAAAACAATTATTTATTATACATTACATGCAATTTTGTAATTTAACTCCTTTTAGCCGTAAATAAAAAATAAATATAATCCACCCAAAAAACTATTTTTAATGTTTTCTAAACTAAAAATCTGTACAATATAGTCATCAAAAACAACATAGATTAGGGAATTTTGGTAAACATAAATTTGAAAACACATAGTGTGTTTGGCATGCACGATAAGCTAACTTATAGTTTATTCAGTTAACTTGTAAGCGTGTTGTATTCAAATAAGTGTGATTTGGTTGGACGAGCATTTTTAATAAGCTCGAGCGTATCTCATAAGTTTCATTGGATAACATAAGACTGTTGAAAGTTAGTTTTTCATCCATAAGTTATAAGCTATCAACTATAAACTCAATATCACTTATAAGTTATAATCCAACTTATCAGCTATCAGATAGTTTATCTATTAGGTTTACCAAACATAGTCACAGTCATAGTGGTTGGTTTTGCGTTAGACCAACATGACTATTAGGTCTGCATATTGGTTTTACATATGTGCATACTTTTATTAGAAAATGTTATACTTTAAAAAAAATAATATAAATAAGGTATAACATCTATATATTTTGAAAGAAGTCGATGGAATTATCTAAAATAGTAATTTTGACTTTATAATGAAATATATTGACTTACTATTAAAGAAAATATAGTAAAAATTACTTTAATATTTATAAAAAAAATAAAAATTAAATTATACCTTGCTATTGTAAGTCATGCAATCCAATTAATAGAACGACTTTCTCTATAAATAATGTGGTATCAATTTTAAAATTTATCTTGTGATAATTATTGCAATAAAAATTCAGTTTATTCATATTAATTGTGAATCACTATGATTTCTTATTCTTTTGGTAACCTACCATACAACATGTCTTCAAAATAAATTTATTAAATATATTTTATTTTAAATAATATTATTTGAATATCCATGATAAAATTATAAAATAAAAATTTAAAATTAATTATGTAAATTTTATTATGATATTTATCACAATATTACAGCAGAACCTTATTTATCAACATAAATAACAAATCACGGTGATTTCTTATTCATTTGGTAATCTATCATACACCAAAAAAAATTTTATCGTACCTTAAAAAGATCATTTAATCAAGAGAATTTGTTTATAATCCTTTTATATATCAATAACTCAACCTTTTTAGTTTTTCAAAAATTATAAACCCAATTTTTCAGATTATCAAAATAAATTCATATATTATCTTTAATATTAAACAAATCTTTATCACCAATAACAAATCATGTGTTCTCATATTTTGTTGGGTATCTAGCCATATGTAGAACAAAATATGCATGAGAACATTGCAATATATAATTATAAAATAAATTTAATAATCAATTGCAAAAATCTTATTGATATAATTAATATATAAAATTGATTTCTCATTATTAATAACAAACTAATCATTTTGTAACGGCCATATAACAAAAATCATGTATTCAAGGAGTTCAAAAATATCCTTTGATTTGATCAATAACGGCACCAACCCAATTTTTAAAAAAATCATATTGTGATTCATTATATCATAATAAATATAATATAAATTAATAGATTAAAAAGAAAATTCAAAATATCTATAATATGATAAATTATAAGAAAAACTAAAATAATATTGATGTAATTAAATATTAACAATTATTTTTAACTTCAAATTAATATATATTACAATCTTTTTCTATTAGGTGTTGGTTATAATTTTTGCCACGATTTTTTACCTTTAGCATAACTTATTTAGAAATTGAATAATTTATTATAACAAGGTATTCTGTGAGTATCATTTATTGATAATATTTGAGTATGTTAAATTTTCATTATCCTTAATATAAACAATAGCTAAAATGACAACTATTTTATAATAAGTGAAATAAACATAAAAATCATATATAAATTATTATATATCATAAAATAAAATAAAAAATAATTATTTATATTTAAAATTATTTTTGTACTAATCAATATTTCTTTATTTTAATACATGACATCTATAATTATTGCATGTGCATCGTACGGGATACGTACTAGTTTGATAATATCAGTATGGATATTTGTTCAATTATGACAATCGACCTATCTACTAGTTAGAATATGTTTATAAACTTATTTGATAAACTAGATAAGGTAGCTGATAGTTTATGATTATTTTTGGTAAACCTAATCGATAAGCTAGCTTATTATAAGACTATATTTAGTAACTAAAAGTTATAAAATAGCTTATAAGATTATGTTTGGTCAGTAATTCTATAGAGTCATCCATAACTTTATGTATTGACACGTGTCCAATGTGTATTTATTGCAGGACACGTGTCAATACACTATTTGTGGATAACTATGGATGACTAGCCGAGCCATGGCTCCATAGCAAAACCTTATGTTTGGTATCTAAAAGTTAGTTTATAGTTTATTTAATTAGTTTATAATTTTATTATTAAATGAATAATTAGCCAATCAGATTAGAGAGGTCGCCGTAATACCTACAACGACTTTCTCTCTCTATGTCCGACTTTCGTTCCAAGGCAGAAACTCATCAGCCATTTCAATTTTCTATAGCGGCTGAGGAAAGAAGAATGAATAGAAGATTGGAGAGAGAATTTGGCTTTCCTCGTGCTGTGATGATCCAGCTGATGGGCTGATCCCATGTACTGATTTTTCGATTTGATTCATTTTCGGAAATGTTTGAATACTCGTCTACGGACATGGGAATGTGAAAAAGCAAACGAATAACGTAAGGGTAATGAATTGCTGCGTGAGCTTGTGAAGTAGTACCTCCAATGTCGGAGGGGTTCACCGGCGTGCAGAAATCAGGATCGTTAAATCTCTTTTGGCGTCGGATCTGATGGTGAAGAGTTTGTTATCGTTTTTCAGGAATATCTCGGGTCGGATTCATTTGAGGGGCATCGGCATTAATAGAATCGGCGGCGGACGCGGTTTTTTCGGCGGTAGTTTTGGAAGAATTGTTGTGGGGCGGGAGGAGAAAGAGTTGGAATAGTAGCTGCGGCGGAGGAAGATGCAGCTGCACTTCTCACCTAGCATGAGAAGCATAACAATATCCTCGAGCAGCTCAGTAGGAAATGTCAATGGAGGAGGCGGAGATTTGATGAAGATCAAGGTGGCGCCTCGCCACATCTCATATCGCACGCTCTTCCACACCATTCTCATACTCGCGTTCTTGTTGCCGTTTGTTTTCATTCTGACAGCCCTCGTCACACTCGAAGGTGTCAACAAGTGCTCCTCATTTGGTAATGTCCCTCATTTCAATTGATATGCTGTTTGTTGTCATTTGGGTTGTCATTATGTTGCTTAGATCTCGTGTTGAAAAGGATTCCAGAAATTGGGTTGTTGTCTGTGGTTGTGTTTAGATTTGATTCGGTCCCTACGTTGGAAGCTGTGTCGATTAGAGAGTGATTCAAATTTTGTATTGTGCACTTAATGTAGGGTTCTTATCATCTTGTTATTTAATGGGCAAGCTGATATGCGAGAATTATTTGGATGGAGGAAGATGAATGTGTAATCTATAAGGAAACTTGTGCTTACGGGTTGCGGCTGCTTGTGTTTTTCCAGCAGTATCCCCAGTACTCCTGCTAGGAAAGCAGTTCTTGTTTCATTTTTTTCTTTCAAAAGATTTTCTGGAAATGAAATGAGTTATTCCAGGATCCCCATCCTAATTTTAGCAGCTTTGCGTCCCATTTGTGCTCATCGTCACATCTATTTTTCATCCTTTTTCATTGTGGCTAGTTGTCATTTAGTAATGGTAAAGAGGAAGTTGGACATTCTGGTTAGGCTTAGAGCTAGAAATGTTAGTTACCCTACCATACAGTAAAGTGGTTGATTGCCAATGAGTTAATCCAATATGCTTCCATAATCCATGTAAACATCTATCTTGATTGTGTCCGTCCTTTCTTATGGAAGTTGCACAACCATGAACATTGACCTTCTCTTGGTTTTTGCCAATTTTAAGTTCGCATGTCAATGGAAACGAAAGAATATTGAAGAATTTAAAGTGAATGACAATCAAATACCTGTCTCTTCACCTGCCCTCACATTCTCTTGTTTTCGTATGTACACTGCTTTCTCGATAAGTTAGTTCGTTTTCTTTATATGTGAAGGTATGCTGTTCGTTCTATATCAAAAATACTTAGATAATTTTAGTCTTTTTGTTGTATAAAAAATTAACAGTTCTAAATTTCATTTCCATTCAGATTGTTTGGGACGAAGGTTGGGGCCAAAGTTTCTTGGGAGAACTGATGATTCTAAGGTAACTTCTATTATTTTTGATAAAGATTATTTTGTTTGCACTCTGACAATCCATCTTTAATAATATTACTGAAACTTTATTTTCTGTAACTGTAGCAGAGGTTGGTCAAAGACTTTGTTAAAGTTATGAATCAAGTGAACTCTGAGAAGGTCCCTGATAGTATAAAGCTACCTGATTCTTTTAGTCAACTTGTTTCCGAAACGAAAAACAAGAAGTACAGTTCGAAGGAGTTTGCTTTGATTTTGAAGGGAATGGTAAATGTTACTTGACCATCGGTCACTTTCTTGCATATCATAAATTCACTTATATTTCTGTGGCTTTTCCTCAGCCTTCCACTCTGCAGTGTTTTTGTTGATTCTACATATGTAGTATTGTGCATTCTTTGAAGTTAAGGTATACTCTAATGAAATCCTGAAATAAATTACCAGTGGAAAAATATGATGTCTGAGTGACTAGTTCACTATCTGGGTGTTCTTAATAGCTGTAACTTATGGCTTAATGAAAACGATTCACCCACCGACTTCACCATCTTATCAGGCTTTGTTCAGTGATCAGAAGATAGTAGATTTTCTGGCATCTAATGCCCATATGTGATGTCTTTCGTGAGAAATCACAAACTTCAGAATAATGTAGTTATGTCTTGTCAGGGTATATCCTGCACACAATTTACATTCTTTTCCGTTCTTCATGATAAAACATTTGTTTCTTTTTCGTTTGAAATTTATTTTTTGTGAAACAGATGGAGAGATCTGAAAGGGAGATTAGGGAGTCCAAGTTTGCTGAGCTTATGAATAAACATTTCGCAGCTAGTGCAATTCCTAAGGCCATTTACTGTCTCTCATTGAGGCTGACTGATGAGTATTCTTCCAATGCTCATGCACGCAGGCAATTACCTTCCCCAGAGTTACTTCCTATGCTATCTGACAACTCCTACCATCATTTTGTGTTATCAACAGACAACATTCTTGCTGCCTCTGTTGTTGTGGCATCTGCAGTCCAGTCATCTCTGAATCCTGAAAGAATTATTTTTCATGTCATCACCGACAAGAAAACTTATCCAGGGATGCATTCATGGTTTGCCCTAAATCCCATGCATCCTGCTATTATTGAAGTAAAAGGCATTCATCAATTTGATTGGTTGACCAGAGAGAATGTGCCAGTACTTGAAGCTGTTGAAAGCCATTACGGAATAAGGAATTACTACCATGGAAATCACATTGCTGGGGCCAATCTGAGTGATACAACTCCGAGAACATTTGCTTCAAAATTACAGGCTAGAAGTCCAAAATATATCTCGTTGCTCAACCATCTTCGTATATACCTGCCAGAGGTAGTCACCTGACGCTGAACATATACTTTTTCACGTGGCATCAAACTTTTATCTGGATTATAATAGATTAGTACTGAAACTGCCTATAGTATAGAAGACTGAGTTACTATAGCATATTGCAACCATCAATGATATTATAGATTAATCGGGGCATAGGAAAAACTGCACTTGCGCTCCAATTTCGGATTTTATAGATCACTCAGGTAAATCGGGGCACAAATAAGTAATATACTAGTGAAGAGAGGCTGTTTAGTCAATTCTAGTTAGTGAGGAAGATTAAGCTTGGAGTTTTGACTATTAATTTATATGTCCCACTCATAAGCTCTTCTTAAAGGTTTTTTACAATAAATTATTATCCAGTGAGTCTAGTCCCTTCAATTCATTATTTTCATTTCACACTGTGCTTGATATATCTTGGATTTCCTAGCTTTTTACTAAGAGCTCTTTTATGGAGAAACAGCTTCATTAATTTATGTTATGTGTATTCTGACCTTGTCAAATAGCATGAGTATGATTTTGTTTGTCTGACTGAGTAGTGTTTTCTGGGCGGCAAATGTTTGTGTTATCCAAATTCATAGTTCACCTGTGTGATCAAGAAGCTTAGATTGATTTTTTATTTTTTATTTTAAAATCATTTCTTCACCTATGGTCTTTCAACAATATCATTGGGCCTTTTCTTTTGTCATGGTTGAGAATTATGTTTGTTATGTTCTGCAGCTATTCCCCGGCCTTGATAAAGTGGTTTTCGTAGACGATGATGTTGTAATTCAACGGGATTTGACTCCTCTTTGGGAAATCGATCTTAATGGAAAAGTTAATGGAGCTGTTGAAACTTGTAGAGGCGAAGATGAATGGGTCATGTCTAAGCATTTTAGGAATTATTTCAACTTCTCTCATCCATTTATAGCAAAGAACTTGAATCCAGAAGAATGTGCGTGGGCGTATGGGATGAATATTTTTGACTTGCGTGCATGGAGAAAAACAAATATTAGAGATACTTATCACTCCTGGCTTAAAGCGGTACATTAAACACTTCTTTCATAATACATTTACTCAGTCATCTCTTTTATAGTTTATCAGCTTCACCAATGTTTTTACTTGTAAATAATGCAGAAGTTTTGCACCAATTATTCCATTTTCAATATGTTCTTTACTGTAGAATCCTTTGGCTTCACCATATTTCAAATTACATATATTGAACTGAGCTATGTGGTTTGTCCATATGCCTGTTGTTTTCCATGACCTGCACACATGTTTAACAAGGGTTAAATTTATTTAATTCTTCTCTTTACCTCTGTCATATGGTACTATTCCT